TAATTGCAGTGCAAAATAAATATGGTGCACAGCCACGTGTCTTTACATTGGTCAGGTATGTATTCAACTACAGAACTTCTCTAAGGTTCTATGGGCGTCAGTGGTGTCGGATGAAGGAGCTTAAGAGGACCAAAGATGAACCCTCTTGGGTGACGAGAGGATCTCTTGGGATCCTCTCGTCACCACCAGAGATCACCACCCTGTTATGAGTTGAATGAGCTTGAATAGATGGGAGCCAGACAGCCTCTGGAGGCCCAAGCGAGGGTTTGCTGGGAATGTCAGGTTGAGTCCGCTATCAGAAATATATTTAACTCCTACTTCTGGTAGAGATTTTCTCAGTTTCGGAAGGAAGCAGGCAACACAGAGTCGGAGAGGAATATGTTGCCTGCCTTTATGGTCGATACAACCACCTGTACAGTAGCTGTGGGTCTGCTGAGGATGTCGTGCTGGCAACCCTAAACCCAGTGGTGGAAACCAGCAATAAGGGATGCCATCAAGCTGAAGATGAGCCCTATTTAGTCTGATTGTGTTATTGGGATTCATGGGGCAGCAAACAGGTACTGCGGGGTTCAGGGTGCCACTGCAAGGGTGATTGCAGAGGCAAAAGCTGGGAGGAGTTTTTTGAGACCATGGAATCAGACTACTGGTGGGCCTCAAAGTTATTCTGGCAATGCCTATGGAGGGGCAGCAGTGCTTCGCTAATACTATATTCAGTGGGAGCAGGAGCTTCTGACCTTAACTGAGTACATTGTCAGACAGTGGAATGAATACTTTGAGAATGGCCTTAACCCAGCAGATACTCCTTATTGGATGTTTTGGGTTGGACTTGTTCATTATTGAAACTGTAGTTACCAGGTGGTCAAAAAAAAACTCCATGGTGGCAGGACCTTAGAAGTGGATGAGATCTGCCCAGAGTACCAGAGGTCTTTGGATGTTCTTGGGCTGTGACTGACACACCTCATAAACATTGAGTTTTATTTTGTAGAGTCCCTGGAGTCTTATTTTGAAAATCTATCACGGATGTGTGTCAAGGGAAGGGTAATGTCCAGCAGTGATATAACATCCATTTCCTAATGTTAAATCACTGGTTTTCCTTGTTATTAGGTGAATAGATGCTTTATTACAGTATAAATGGGATTCTTACTTTGAAAGTCTTGCAGGGATATGTTGTAAAGTAAAGCGTCAGATCCAACAGTGGTACTGAATCAATTTCCAATTGCTAAAAGCTTTATCAAAGAAAAAGTTTTAAGCCTACCCTTAAAAGTAGACAGTGTCTGGTTCATGGGCTAAAACTGATCAAATAAAAGATGTGCCTCCCATTCTACTTTTAGAAAATCTAGGAACTACTAGTAAACTTACAGATTGATGATGAAGTGCTCTGTTACGAATTTAAGGAACAATCAGATCTCTGATATAAAATGGAGCTTGCCCATTTAAAGCTTTATATGTGAGAAGGAGGATTTTAAATTCTGTTCTGGATTTAAGAAGAAGCCAGTGAAGACAAGCTAGGATAGGAGAGATATGATCTCTGTTTTATCAGAACCCTGGCTGCAGCATTTTGGATCAGCTGAAGGCTTCTAACTACAGTTTGTAGACTTCCAATTACCGTAGTGAAGAATAACAATAGTCCAGCCTTGAAACAAATGCATTAACAGGTTCTCAGCATCACCACTGGACAGGAGATTTCGAATTTTGCAATATTCTGCAGATGAAAGAAAGGAAATTATAGAAACCTCTTTGATATGGGATTTAAATGACAGGTCCTGATTAAAAAAAACACCAATGTTTCTTACTTTATTTTAACCTCTGGTCCAAAGACTATAACTTCTGATTGGTCTGCATTCAGAAACAGAAAGTTAAGAGTCATCCAGGTTTTTATGTCTTCAATATATGACTGTATTCTATGTAATGGGTTAGCTTTATCTGGATTTAAAGGCAGATATACACTATATTGCCAAAAGTATTTGCTCACCTGCCTTGACTCACATATGAGCTTAAGTGACATCCCGTTCCTAATCCATAGGGTTCAATATGACGTCGGTCCACCCTTTGCAGCTAGAACAGCTTCAACTCTTCTGGGAAGGCTGTCCACAAGGTTTAGGAGTGTGTTTATGGGAATTTTTGACCATTCTTCCAGAAGCGCATTTGTGAGGTCGCACACTGATGTTGGACGAGAAGGCCTGGCTCTCAGTCTCCGCTCTAATTCATCCCAAAGGTGTTCTATCGGGTTGAGGTCAGGACTCTGTGCAGGCCAGTCAAGTTCATCCACACCAGACTCTGTCATCCATGTCTTTATGGACCTTGCTTTGTGCACTGGTGCACAGTCATGTTGGAAGAGGAAGGGGCCAGCTCCAAACTGTTCCCACAAAGTTGGGAGCATGGAATTGTCCAAAATGTCTTGGTATGCTGAAGCATTCAGAGTTCCTTTCACTGGAACTAAGGGGCCAAGCCCAGCTCCTGAAAAACAACCCCACACCATAATCCCCCCTCCACCAAACTTTACACTTGGCACAATGCAGTCAGACAAGTACCGTTCTCCTGGCAACCGCCAAACCCAGACCCGTCCATCAGATTGCCAGATGGAGAAGCGCGATTCGTCACTCCAGAGAACGCGTCTCCACTGCTCTAGAGTCCAGTGGCGGCGTGCTTTACACCACCGCATCCGACGCTTTGCATTGCACTTGGTGATGTATGGCTTGGATGCAGCTGCTCGACCATGGAAACCCATTCCATGAAGCTCTCTGCGCACTGTTCTTGAGCTAATCTGAAGGCCACATGAAGTTTGGAGGTCTGTAGTGATTGACTCTGCAGAAAGTTGGCGACCTCTTCGCACTATGCGCTTCAGCATCCGCTGACCCCGCTCCGTCAGTTTACGTGGCCTACCACTTCGTGGCTGAGTTGCTGTCGTTCCCAAACACTTCCATTTTCTTATAATACAGCTGACAGTTGACTGTGGAATATTTAGGAGCGAGGAAATTTCACGACTGGATTTGTTGCACAGGTGGCATCCTATCACAGTTCCACGCTGGAATTCACTGAGCTCCTGAGAGCGACCCATTCTTTCACAAATGTTTGTAAAAACAGTCTGCATGCCTAGGTGCTTGAATTTATACACCTGTGGCCATGGAAGTGATTGGAACACCTGATTCCAATAATTTGGATGGGTGAGCAAATACTTTTGGCAATATAGTGTAGCTGGGTATCATCAGCATAACAGTGGAAATTAATCCCATGCTGTCTTATAGTTCTACCGACTAGAAACATACTGGATAACTTGTATTGCTTAGGTACTCCACAGGTAACCCTTGAGCACTTGGAACATTTATAATCAATGTGAACAAACTGAAAACGGTCAGATAGATTTAAACCAGTCTAGAGCTCTTCGGTTAATTCATAAAATATTAAAGTATTTCTAAAATAATATTATGATCAAATGCAGCACTGAGATCTAACAGGTCACGTATGTGGTTGGAGGAGAGACACACAGCAGCACTCAGTGAATATTAACCAGCATCTACTTTAATATTAAAGTAAAAGTGAAAAAAAATTAGAGATGCCTCCGAAAAATCAGTTCGTTAGAGCTTTTTCTGCAAAAAAGGCAACATTTTTAAGTTTGTATTATAATGCAAAAAGCTTGAGAAAATATAGTTTAAATGTTCTGTTCTTCTTCATTATAAAAGCTGGGCTTCTCAAAGAACCATGACTCCCAGTTACAATTTAAAATGAACAGGTTTTCTTACTGAACAAATAGAATCAGACGGCAGAGCTTCTACATCTCTTGAAATTTGGTTTCTGGCATCATTATATTAGTAAAAAGGTTCATAGATCTTCTTAAACAGAGCACAGAGAGAAGTAGGGAGAGCTGCAGATTTAAAGGTGAAACAGATTTATTGGGGTATGCAACAAGCAATAAAATATATCTCCAAGTTTAACAGAGAATTTAAAAGAATAAAATAGGCAATGCTATATGTAAAATGCAGCATATCCATTTTTTTATGGATGTAATTAAAATTGTACTTGTAGGGATACATGATATATCGATTTTTACATCGGAATTGGCTGTTATTTATTATTCTTTTATACTTTTATATATATATATGTGTGTGTGTGTGTGTGTGTGTTATGCACTAAAAGGCATCTCTCTAACTACCTATAAATATAAATATCAGTGTATTATGGTTCTCTTGTGTTCTCAGCAATAAGAAAGCATTACATAAATATATGTTTGAGCTCATTTTTGAAAAATACAAAAACCTAATGAAAGCGTTCTGTTGGAGTAACTGTAGGTCCATCAGCCCGCACCCTTTCCTTCCAAAGTTACACCCTTGTACTCGCCGATACCGATACCATTATTTCAGTGCTGGATTGGGGTCCCGCATGATACTTGTATCAGTATCGGTGCAACACTAATTTTAAATGATACCATGTGATCCCTCCTGTGAAAAGAAAAGGAGCCTCTGGGTAAAGATGCCACTAAAAACACAATAAAGATGGAGAAAAAAAAAAAAAATATATATATATATATATATATATATATATATATATATATATATATATATATATATATATATATATATATATATATATATATATATATATATATATATATATATATATATATATATATATATATATATATATGGTTTAGGGGCTGAAAAGAATTTTGTTGGGCCAGAAAATATTGGGACCTCTCAGGTGGAGTGAGGGCTGACATCATGGTTCCAGGATTATCTAGATCCGGTGAAAGAAAGTGGGAAAAACAATAATGTTTGGAGCAGAGGTTTAAAGAGCAATAACTGAGCTCTGGATCTTGAGTTTTTCAGAACAGTCCAGCTGATTTGTAGCTGATCCCTCTGCAGTAATAAACTCTGAGTTAGCCTACTGCCTCATTTTTCACTGACCGACGGGAATAAAAGCCTGATGGGAGCTGGAGCAGTTCTGACCCTGTTCTGGCTGTTCGGATCCGATCCGATTGTTGGGAAATCTGATGTTCTCATAATGAGCTCAGAGGAGGAGGAGCGCAGACCGGAATCAACTTCTACTTCCTACTTTATGAAAAACACCATCACTGCGTTTGTCACGCACCTTTCTGCGCCTTTTACGCACTTTTCTAAGCCAGATTCTGGGGAGTCCGACTTGGTTCCGACTTGCCGTCATTTCTTTTCGGATCCCATGGATAATTAAAACTGATCATCTGGCTTCAGTCAGTCTAATTCTTATTCGGGGTCGTTAATCACCGGGACACTTTGGAGGAGTTCCCGGACCACCCAGACAGAACCGGACCCGGTCCACCGCTTCATGCTTACTGCGGCTGTGGAGCCCTGATCGGCGGTTAATCAGCAGAGCGCCGGTGTTTGGGCATAACACCGGACTCCTGCTCCTGGGAGGAAGGCAGGAGGAGTCCCGACGGTCCGATCCGGTCCTGGTTCTGGTTCAAACAATTATCCGGGTCCTGATTAGAGCCGAAAGGTTCATCTTGACCAGACCGAACCGCCTAGATACTCATCTACCTGCAGCTGATGTAAGTCTCCTCTTTTTGAGCTGTTTTATCTTAATAAACCGTTTTTTAAATGGAACCTGGCACTGATTACTGTGACTCTAAACACCGTGATAGTTTTTAACCATTAACTGTTTTTTTTTTCTTCAGTTTTTTGTTGTTGTTTTTTTGTACTTATTTGATAAGAATCCAATAAGAGTTATTGATCTGTTGTAGATTTATTACAGAGTTCTGTACTAGTTGTCACATCAGATCTGAAGCCGCAGAGCAAATCTCCTTTTAAAAAAACAAGAATTTAATATTTATACAGATTTTTGTCCGATAATTCAGGATGTAAAGTAGAAATGCGCTTTTTATTTATAGTTTCCAGCTGTTTCTAACCTTTCGGCATCCTTACAGTACTCAGTTTCACGTTCTTCCGATTTTAACTATTTTAATAGAAGTTTTAGAGAAAGCATATTATGAAAGTTTAGATTTAATCATAAAATTTGGATAATTTCTTTGAAAATGATCAGGCTGAATAATTTTGTTTGAACGTGTAATTAAATTTTATTTTAGTGTTTTTTTTTTTTTTTAGAAAGCAGCTTTGGGAGTAAATGGAAGCTGTATTTTAACAGTGACAGCAGGTTTTTTCTATCTGTTTGTGCTTCTCATCGATCCACCCTCATAATCAGATTCCAGAGTCAGTTTGGGGACTGCAGAGATCAGCAGAACAGCTGCAGCCTCCTCATCCTCATCAGATCTGAGCTCTGAATTAATGGCAGCAGGAAACGCCTGGTGGAGCAGCAGCTGCTGCAGACTCCCTACAAGTTAAACCTGCTGGTTTATAAACAGAAAACTCTTGAAATGATGGGATGAGTGTGGTCCAAGCTGAAGGAGGTTTCACTGAGGATGAGTAATAAACTTCCTGGTCTCCCATAAACACACACACACACCAGAAGGTGTTCCACTGTTGGTTTTATTGAGCTCCTTTTGGCATGAAGTGTGCCATGATGGATGGTGTTGTTGGGCAGCTCTGGTTCTGTATGTCCCTCCAGGGATCCACTTACTCTGCCTGATCATCCTCCGTGTCACATTATCCCTCTGTCTGGATGCTCCGGTCTCACTCAATCTCTTTCCTCACTGTTTTCTGCTCAAACATCCAATCTGAAGGTGAAAAATTCAGCAAGCTGAGCGCTGAATCCATACTGGGTTGTGTAGGAACATATGGCTGAAAAAATGGGTTTAATTCAGCAGCAATTTCCACACAGACAGGAGTCAGATCTCACTGATGGGAGTTAGAGGCCTCTCTATGAGGGGAAGCGGTGGCTCCATTGTTGTCGCAAGAAAACAACACTTTTTTTTACAGGAAATAAAAAGAAAACAACTTATTTTAAAACAAAGGTTTTGAGAGTAACTTTGCTCTATTCTCAGATGGTATTTTTCTTCCATCTTTTGTTATTTTATTTTTCAATTTTTGTTTTCGCATTTTGTTTTTAAAGATTTTATTTTTGAAATTTCTGTCTTTCAGATTGATTTTTAAGAATTACCATTAATTCAATTCAATTCAGTTTATTCATATAGCGCCAAATTCACAACACATGTCATCTCAAGGCACTTTACAGTTCAACCTGATCATACAGTCAAATTGATACAAAGTTTTCTATCTAAGGAAAACCAGTTATGCATTAAAAATGCATAACATTTGAAAAAAAAAAATATATATATATATATATATATATACAAATATATATATATATATATACATATATATATATATATATATATATATATAAACATTTTTTGAGAAAAAAGAATAAACAAAGAAGCAACAAATTTAGACTTTATTTAATGTTTTAATTCTGAGTTGCACTTTCCATCCATCCTTTCTGTCATGCTTCATCCCTGCTGGGGTGCTGGTGCCCATCTCCAGCTGTCTACGGGCGAGAGGCGGGGTTCACCCTGGACAGGTCGCCAGTCCATCGCAGGGCAACACAGAGACAAACAGGACAAACAACCATTCACGCAGATACTCACACCTAAGGAGAATTTAGAGAAGCCACTTAATCTAGCAGTCATGTTTTTGGACTATGGGAGGAAGCCGGAGTATCCGGAGAGAACCCACGTATGCTCAGGGAGAACATGCAGACTCCATGCATCCATGCAACCTCCTTGCTGCATGGCAGCAAGGCAGTGCTACCCACTGCTCCACTGAGCAGCTATGAGAGTTGCATTTTCTTTTTCAAATTTCCGTTTCCAAAAATTATGTGCAACAATAATGCCTCTCTAATGGAATATACAGGGTTTCTCGGGTCATAAAAAATAATTAAAAGTAATTAAATTATTATTTTTTTAAACGAATGCCTTAATTGGCATTAAAATACATTAAATTTGATAATCGTGGCATTAAAATGCTTTGGAACAAAAGCTTGAGGCAGAGAAAAGCCTAGAGAATGGGGAAAAATGCTAATTTGAACCAAAGTGGCGGGAAAACGAGGAACTCGGGACATGGCTGCAGCCTGTCCACGGTGAAGATGACGAAGGATTTATATATATATAAATCATGGGTACTTGTTGATGGCATTAAGATTATTTCTAAGAGCATTAAAAAGCATTAAATAAGAGTTACTCATTCATGTATAAACCCTGATATAGAATATGGGGGGGAATAAAGTTACAGAACTGTAAGTAAATATTTGCTGGATTAAAATCTTGCAAAGCCGAGTGGATCTGAATTCTATGACCCTGTACCAGTTCACATCTGTTTCTGACAAAAAAAAAAACAGCCACCTTTTCTCTCTGAGCTGTTTGGGTTCATTTGGGTTTTTATTCATCCAGCTCCAGGATGAGGTGGAACCAAGACCCAAAAGAACCTTAACAGCTGGTTAACAAACCCTGAGAAAAGATCTTTCAAGCCACTAAAAGCTTCACAAACTTTGAGCAGAACCATAAAGCTTCACACCATCAGAATAAAAATAAAAAACAAATAATTAAGAACAAGTCAAGCTGTAAACATGATCTGGTTCCAGTTTGACCCAAACATCCAGATTTATTCCAGTACTTAATGAGGTTCTCTTCATCTCTCCACAGGGCGTCCTTCGTCCTCCTCTTCCTCCTGGCTGTGACGGGCGGCGCTGTGTGTCAATCCAGCGATTCGACAGGTAGGTGATAGGTGGGCGGGGGGGGGGCCCGTGGGTTCTCATTAGAAGGTGAAGTCAGAGATCCGAGTCACAGAACTTTTACCTTCTCATCTAATTTCTCCCTAAACTGTTTCTGGGTCCAAATAATCCTCAAAAGTTGGACGTTTTCCTGGTTGCTCTGAGCTTAATGAGGAGCAGGCAGGAGGCTCATTTATAACGCGGTGGGAGATTGATGGAGCTGCAGGAAGACGGGAAGAAAAGCTGCATGGATTCTGGGAGAACGACCTGCTCACAGCAGGACGGGCCATGGAAGAGCTGGGCTCCACCCGACCCAACCTCAGCCGTTTGGAGCTCTCTGTTAATGGGAAGAACTCTAAAAGCTCCACTCCCTGGAAGGTTGGCAGCTGTCTGAGATGTTTTCTCAGAACCAGGGTTTCCGATAAAGATATCTGGGTGGAAGCAAAGTGACAAAGGTTCTCAGAATCACCTGCTGATGGGTTAAATCCAGCAGCAGCAGTGAGGATGGACCCAATCAATACCCTGACTGCATATCGATTTTAATAACTTTAATGCACTGGTTGTTTGCTTTAACAGCAATGCCAGCACCAGATGGAAACTCATTAATCTTATCGACTTGTGTTGGAATCAGGGAAAGAAATATTGATCCAACTGGAAAAGTTTGAGGCCTCCAGCTGGTTCTATGGCTGCAGAAACCCAAAGATCCAGCTTAGAGCTGGTTCCACCAGTTTGGATCTGGACCGGTTCAGCGGCTGTGTTGGACTCCCATGATGCATCTCTGCTGCTTTGGTTCTGACACCTGCAGACCACATGCAGCTCATGAATAACCAATTTTTTAAATTGTTTTAAAACACTTTAAGCATTTCTTTTCTAAGTGTTTCAATTTTTACTGCATTTATGATGGAAAGGTAGATTTATTTCCTTCCTGTGCTGAAGGTTGTTTCCACCTGGTTCCAGATAAAATAAGTTGGATGATTAATACGGGCATTGGTAATGTCTGCAGCAGGAGGAAGGATGACATGTTGGAGACGGACGGATGTATGGGTGGAGGGATTGCTGTTTGGATGGGTGGATGGTGCTGCATGCAGGGGGGGGGGCTTTTAATAGAAAGACTAATACTCCAGCAGGGAAAACCTGACAGGTCAATTACCAACACAGGCGCAGCCGATCCACTCTGGTCAGGAGCTGCAGAGAGGATCCATTAATCTGGAGCTCAGCGTTCAGGATCCACAGGACCAGCTGGGCTGAACCCGTCCTGGTCTGTGGAGCTTTAATCCTAAGCAGGAGGCCCCTCTGCAGCTCCACCTCATCAGTTATTTGGTTTTATTTGGTTTTGTTTGTGATTTGCATCTAAAAGGGCTGCAGCCACCTATGGAGTTAATCTATGGCAGGGGTCGGCAACCCAAATTGCTCAAAGAGCCATATTGGACATGGTTATGTATGTAAAGAAGTTTACATACCTGCAGAAGAGCACCACCTGTTCAATCTGTGGACATGTTTTCCTGCTTGAAACCAAACTAGCAGCACTAGTGGAGTTTGGAGATGCAATCCATTTCTTAAATCTATGTTTGCTCTCCTCTAATTTATCCGGAAGTTCTGCAATCGCACTTTTTCTCCCACCTTTGTGATCGGCTGCGTATTTAGCCTTCCCTAGAAATGCATATCCAAATTTATGTTTTTATTATTTGACAAATTCTTGTGCCAAAGCAAAAATGCGGGCAATTCTTCCGCATTGATAATGAAAGCAAATGATTCGGTCCTTTCTTCTTTGAATCCTCTGTTCTCATCAGGTATCTTCCTGTTTTTCCCTTTGGGAAAGACCCCCCCCCCCCCCCCCCCCCCCCCCCCCCCCCGGGTTGGCTTTGCCTGGCACCGCGCTGCGCTGAGACATGTGTTGCAGGCTTTGGCCACTAATCTCTATGGCAATGACGCACATTTTTATTGAAATAAATGTTTTGTATCGAACAGTTGCACTGGAAAACATAATGAATGTCTGTTTTTACCTCCTGCACACCATTGTTAAATAAACAAACCAAATAAATTAATATTTTTACAAATACAAAAAAAAACTTCAGGGAGCCGCAAGGGGGGCGCTAAAGAGCCACATGCGGCTCCGGAGCCGCGGTTGTCCGACCCCTCATCTATGGAGTTCATCTATGGAGTGAATCTATTCCATTATTTTTTCAAAGAACATGTTTTGTAAAAGAAAATGGAAATAAGTGCACTCTAGATATGAAATTCTGAAACTTGTTTTAACAAAATAAGGTTTTGGGACTAAATTAGCTGTTGTCTTAGATTTTGTTTCAAATCTTATTAGATTTATTTTATTAGTCTGTTTTTGCCTTTTTTTTCAAATGGTATTTTTTAATTTTGTTTTAAAAATTTTTTTTTTTTTCGGATTGCATCCTATGAATTACATTCTTTTCAAATTGTGTTTCACAGATCAGATTCTCTTTCTTCAAGCCAAATAGAAACACTCGCTCCAGATGTGCAGATTGACCAATAAAAATGTTTCTACTAACATCTATGCAGACATGCTAACTCCCAATTTGGAAAAAAAAAAGGCACTTTGTAAAGCTTAATATAAAAAGCAGAAACTTGACAATTAAATTGAAAAACTAATAAAATTTGAAACAGATTAACACTTTTCAATGTTTAATTTCTGCATTGTATTTTTTTCTAACTTTCAACAATTTTTAAATGTCTTCTTTGCAACAGTAATGGAACAAAATCAACTTCATACCAATCATCCTTTCACAGGAAGGTCCTCTCTAATCATCTCAGTTTCATCTGTACAACAGCAGAAATAGCTGCAGATTGCTATATTGTTCTTATCTTTTTTTAGAGCTTGTTTCCTGAAGATGTGCTCAGATTCCTAAGATCTAAAAGATGAAATCTTTCTCAAAACAAATGTTTGGAGGAGTTCATTTTCTTTTATTGGTCTTTTATTGGTTCTGAGTCAAACCGGGTCTTACTGATTAAATGTCAGTGAAGGAAAACTACTTTGTCATTTCTAATACCTTAGAGGATGTGTTGAAAGGTCCCAAAAACTCCCTGAGGATGTTTCAGGACATGTGGAAGATGTTTTTATAAGGTCTTTGGAAATTTCTCATAGAAACAGAATTGCTTACACCGTCTGAAACGCAAACTGAGTCAGTCGATGTTTTGGTTCTTCATGAGCGGCTAATTGAAGCGTTTTTGTTGGTTTCTGTTATTCAGATTCTGCTTTTGGGTTCCTTAGAGCAATGGAGATATAAACTTTCTGTGATCTCTGTGTTAAATTGTTCATGCAGCCTCTCCCCTGTCTGCTGTCATGCTGAGCGTTTTGGAGGCGGCGTGGCGTCGGGACGATTAAAGGTTTCCTATCTGTATCATCATTCCCATCCTCGCTTCCTGTATCGAACAGTTGACTCCCTCTCCGGTCTAATTAACCTTTCCCTGATGAATGAGGATCATCTGTGTTTCCCTCCAGATCATTTTGACTGATTGGCTTCATCTTTGAGTCGGGGAGGAAACCATCAGTCAGAAAATCAATCGGAAGGGAATTAGTCGGCGCTAATTTAGGTGATTGATCGCTGGTTCAAATTCCCAAAGCGACTTTTTGCAGGATCACTTTCTAATGCCCCTTTAGTGAGGAATGTTCCATCCTATTATGGGATGTAATTTGTACAGACTATAAATAATCCAGTACTGATTGAGTCCAGCCTTGTATCTGTGTTCTTTAATCTAGAAAGAAATGATAAAGGAATGTATAGTTTGGGTATATTTTACTGCTCTATGCAGCAATATGCTGATGACGCCTTTGTGTTTAAGAGAGAAACTGATTATTTTTTATTAAGGTAAAAAAGGTTGAATATTTGCCTGGTTTAGGAGATGAATGCTGGTAGAGACCTTTAAACAGACTCAGGATCTCGATGTAAGGTAGAGGAACACGCTTTATTGCTGTTCTTTGAGATGATTGTTCAAACCTTGGATTCATTCTGGAGCTTCAGTCCAGTTTAAATTGAAGATATTTAAGTTCCATTAGGGCATCCTAGCTTTGATTGAGAAAATATGCTAAAATCCAGAGTACTGGGTCTTTCTACCGTCCATTTACCTGCGCCATCCAGGTAAGCCATGTCTCTTGGCCAGAGGACACATTAAAGCGAGGCGCCATATTTAATTCCGGATATCCTTGAATTGTCTTACAGCTGGTGCGTCATCAGGAAGGGGATTTAGTGAGAAGGCTCTGGCTCTTTGAGGCAGATCAAACTTCACCATCTTGTTTTGAATGTTAGCAGAAGCTGAGGAGCCAGATGGTCGTTCTGACTCATTGTTGTCGCTGCTTATGGTTCATGTTTAATCCGCTACAATGAAGGGAGATGTTCTGTGTGCTTCTCTGATAACAAGCTGGAGCTTGTAAACCCTTTTAGATGGAGCTCAGCAGGCACTGAATCATTTTCTAGAGTATAAATGTTTCAGTTCCAAACTTCTAGTTTCTGACTTCATTCTAATTGCCAACACTGTGTGAGGTGAAGCTCTGGGAGAGGCAGGCAGCAGGGTTTCCCAGAAAATCCCAGATAAAGCAGAGTGTTGGGATGTTTGCACTATGAAGGTCAGGGGGAGGAAACCCTGGACTCTTTCTCTTTGCTCTCAGATGTTTATTTGTTTTTTGATGGATTTGAACAGATTAAATGAACTGATCCAAACTAAGGAACCTGGAGTCGATCCGGAGACTGAAAAGCAGCTTTGGTTCCCTCACACGGGAGGAGTCCTGCTCCTCTGGCAGATGTTCAGAAAATCATCAGGAGTAACTTGTGATGTATTTCTATGGTGGTTTATCTCTGACGGCACCTTTTATCGAATCGCACCTTCAGTTATTGCCTTTTAACACAGAGCCTTTCAGTATTTTCCTTCCCTAGTCTCAATCAATTCCAAGGTTTGTTTGTTTTTTTATGCTAAAAAACATATGTCAACAAATAGGATGTTAGTTTTATTACTGATAAAGAATATGACCTGAGGCCTTGTCCACTCAAAGACGAACGTGTTTTTATAAACAGCTTAGAAAAAGTTGCGTCTAAACAAGTGTACATAGAAGTAGTTATACTTTACTCTACTTTTTGCTTAAGAAATATTTTTGTCCAAGTATTGCTACTCCTAATAATGTAAACATTTCTGGTTACTCTATCCACCAACATTAAGTTGAGCTACTATATGATCAGTCAAAATACAGGAAATAATGTCGCTGAAAGTTCTTAATCCTTTTCATGACATATTTATTGCCCTCTTTAAGGTTGTGTTAAGAAAAAAGTTTTGGAAAATAGCTTTTATGCCAAAATTTGCTTATTCATAATCATGTTATTTAGTTTGTATTTCCAGAAAACTCTTTCAACATCATTTTAGACATTAGGTCAGACATTATGAGCCAACAATGACTCAGTAGTAGAGATGCAATCTTACAAAGTATTTGTTCTATTTGTCATTTCCAGTTTTTACTTTTACTTTTGTGAAGAAATTAAATAATAAAGTAGAGCTACTTTTATTTGAGTAAAATTTTTTCCATATTCTCCCCATCTTTGGTTTTGTCAAACAAGTTATCAGGTCCAGTAGGACGACCCAGACAGAACAAAAGCTGTTATTTCAGCAGAGCTCCCTCAAAGGAATTTAAAGTGTTTGAACCCCAAAAAACACTTGCTTGGACGCAGACCTGAAGCCCGTTTCACCCTGATTCCCTCTTTCCAGAACCACTTTGTCAGCCCGTTCCACTGGGAGTGGATCCTGGCGTGGGCCGATGTCGGTTCTGTCCTGAAACGCTCTGGGGTCCCTCAGGAGGAGCTGGGGGGAACGGCTGCATAGATGGATGATTGTAATTTCTTCCCTCAGCCAGAGCTCCGATAATCGGATCAAGATGGATGGATAAAAACATATGGAGCGACGTGTTGCTATCAATATCTAACCCTCTGCTGCAGACTTAAAAGCTTCTCTTTACATTAAATGGATATCTGCAAACGAAGGGACGTCTTATTAGGAGAACTGTAACCATGACAACGGTTCAGAACCCACTTCAGGCAGGTTTTAGAGTTTGGAGCTGCTGCATAAGCTGGGGGTTCAGTCCAAACAGCCGTAGTTTGATGGAAACTCTTTCGGCTTATAAAGCTGAGTCTCCTACATGTACATGGGTGGTTCTGTTGACCCAAACACATCAAAGCTCCAGTTCAGTCATGTTTTTGTTCAATAAAGAAACTCAGCTCAGGTTTTATTCTACTAACTTTCAGTATCTAGAGGACTTCAATCTGAGTGGACAGGTAGTTGAAGGCATGGTGGTGAAAGTGTCATGCTGTGGGCCTGATTTCCTTATCAGGATAGAGATCAGAGTTGGTGGTAACATGGATGGGCCTTAACTTGGACTGGAAGAACTGGGTCCAATTCAAGTTTTCAGTCTCCGGTTGTTCTTCGGTTTTATTTTTGCTGGAATCCTCATAGTAAACGGGACATAAAACATCTGCTAAATGTGTCCCACTGTCCTCCTGTCTACCAGAACCCATGTGTTACGACTGGGGCGAATCCAGTGAGGGGGCGGTGTCGGTTCTGGACGGCGAGGCCGGTTCCATCTCCTGTCCTCTCTTCTCTCATCCCTCCGTCTACAACTACACATCGGCCCAGAGCGCCGGACACAACCTGTTCTGGTACCGCCTGCTGGAAGGCCATGACCTGGAGCAGCCCATCCCCTACAGGTAACCATGGAAACCGACTCTCTCTGGAATAGAAATGCTGCTTTAATTATTATTTTTTAGGCCAGTTTTCTGCATATTATTCACTGTCCTGCAACACAAACCCGATCAGTAGATAACTGGGTTTCACCTGCTGGGAACACGGGCCCTTTTCCTGCCCGGACCTTGGTTCTGCATGTGTAATTTAATGATGAAGAGCATCCTAACGATTTTCCTTCCAGAAACGATGTATTGGTGTTTGTGAGACGGGCGGTTAGGCCGGCGTCGCTCAGGACGTGGGAGTTTGTTCTGATGTCGCTCTAATTGGATCGTTTCTGATTTATTGTCTGTCTCTAATGTGATTGTTGCTCCGCAGCCTGCGCCTCAGCAGAGACAGGGAGAGACTGTGGCTGCAGCCGGCCGTGGCCAACGACACGGGGCAGTACATCTGCATGCTGCGGTAAGTCCACATCCTTCCCGTTTGGGTTTCTCTGGCAACAGACCGGTTCTGGTCTTCAAAACTTTCTCCTGGAGGTTTTAAACCATCTGGGTTTTACTGGGATTTTATTTAACATTTCATCATAAACTGGTGCAGAACTGGAAAGGAAATGATTTAATGTTCTTAAGAATTATGTTCCTCTGGACTCTGAGCTTTAAATCAGAACCTCAGCATCACAGAACCTTGGCTTCAATTAACCCGACTGCCACCACTGAGACGCAGCTAAACATCCGGCATGAGAGATTATAAACCAGAAAGAAATCTGGACTCTAAATTGTTCTGGTTCTGATCTGTCATCACAGACAGAAAAGCTGACAGATTCAACTTTCGGAAAAGATTCTAGTAGAACTTGATTTTGGGTCGGTCCATAGACTGATCTCTGGTTTCATTTAGAGGTTTCTGAGATCCGCTGCTTTGAACTGAGAAGCTGACCGAATGGACCAACCCATCCTGTGACAGCAGTGGGTGTTACCCACTCTAAGAAAACAAAGCATAGAGTTCTACACGGTTTCTGGGTCATGGTCAGGTTTCGTCAGTGAGGGTACCACAGAACCATCAGGTTTGACTTCCTGTCCCTCCTTCCAGCTCAGACGGACCGCCTCCATCTGCTGCAGTGATTAAAACATTTTTTTTAAAGACCTGTTTTGTTCTGACATACATTAGGTTAAATATATTATTACAATAACCCACAGTTTGATTTTCTGAAATAAAACCAGGAGTAAAGTTAGAACAAAAAGTGAACAGGTTTTAAATGAATCTGCTTGATTTGAGGAATTTTGTTGTTCCTCCTTTTATTTTGAAATAGTTGAAATAGTCTAACAAAAACACTGTAGAGTTTTTCGAGCTTAAAAATCTTTGATTATTTGCATCCCTGCACTGGAACTAGTTTTTCTTCCTGCAGATTAATGGACGTTTCTCATAGTGGAGGCGCCGTGACTGTAGGACACAGTTTCATCTCAGCTACAGACGGTGAATGTTTCACAGAACTTAAAGCTACAGTGTGTAATAATTACAGGGATATACAGTCAGAAATGTAATATATTATACATAACTATGTTATTTATCATCATCTACGAGCTCAGCCTCTTAACCTTAATATTTGCGTTGCCTTAGAATTCGTTATTTATAATTACATAGGAGCGGGTCTCGCAGCCATGGAGGCAGACATCTTAGCGCTACGGCAGCGCAGAGCCAACAAACTAGTGACTGCGAGATCGCCAAAATGTCACAACGATGTAGAAAAAATAACGGGTATATATATTATCTTAAGTCTACATGAAATCTATACCCTACACAGACTAATGAAATACTATCTGTAAAATTATCTATGTAAACAAACCTCATCACTTGAGAAGGTAGGTGATGCGGACGTCGTGGAAGACATTTTGTCCCGTAACGTTCGCCGTACTGTTGGGGGGGAGAAGCGGTGGGGGGGAGATGTTCATGTTGCTGCAGTCTGCAGTCTGACCGCTAGATGTCGCTAAAAGTTACACACTGTAGCTTTAATGTCCAAAAACTGATCAATCAGTGATTAATTAATTCTGCCTGAATTAACTTTTAGGTACAAAATAATTCATCCATAAAGCTGAGATATCACAGCCAGCACGAAGCACAATACTGCTAGCCACCTTGAAACTTGTTCATACATTAGATTCTGTTTCCTTCAAAGTAAAAGAATTTAGCATAACCCCTCATTAAAAAAATAAAAACATAATTTTCGACACGATCGCTTAGCCCGGGGGCAGCCATTTTTGCCCAAATATAGTAACACCTCACTCCTGACATCTTCTGGCGAAAACGTCACAGTGCGGTAAGCCTAGCGCCATTCTCCCCGCTTTACAAGAAAAATCAATGGGAACTACTAGACACATCTGCAATTAACAACAATTATTGAAGATTTCCAGAGGACTTCACCATTGAAATTCACCAGAGCTATAGTGAAACTGACAATGCCCACGTGCATGGCAGCTGGATGTTGGAATACATCGGGTAAAAGTGAAAAAAACATTAGTTATTTCACCTTTCCAATTCATGATCCTGAACGGAGCCGTTCGTCGTTGGATTGCCAACCTGAGGATGGAGGATTTACCATCAAACTTCTGGCCAGAGAAAAAACTTTTGGAAGAAGAATGTTTTCAAGATAACTTGGATAATAGCGCGTTGTGACAAACACCAGATCCAGCACTGGGACTTGATCAACAGCCGATACCACACCGTGACGTCACAAACCAGTAGGTGGCAGTAGTGTTCTTTGACAAACATGGATGCCTCCAGTAAAGCTCATTCACATGAAAATTACTCTTGATTAAAAACATTTATCATTTATTGAACATTATGTAATAATTTCATATTTAAAGTTATATAAGAAGTTGTATTGTGAATATGACCGGACTTCTCTTTTAATTTGTTGAGCCTTTTTTGTGGCGACCAAACGGATGCATCCAATTCTCCTCCACACTCATCAACACATCTGTTTCTGCCTTAGATAAGCCATATTTCTTACTGTCTACCCTGCGGTTGCCATTGAAGCTCCATGATCCTGAAGGAAAGTCTCTTGGTTCTTGCTTGTGTACGCCAATGTTGGGTATTTGGCATACTTACACTTCTAGTACAGATCCTAGGCAATGTTTTTTAAATAAGACCCCTGGTTCTGTTCTGGGTCTCCTGGTAGTGGAAAACTCCAGCAGAATCCCCACAGAAAGATGAACCATCTCCTTTTACAGGAGCTGGTGATGAGGATTAAGAAGATGAAGCTCCTGTCCTTCGTATTAATCTAATTCCAGCTGCTTTCATTCAGGATCTCCTTCTTTAGTGAGGATCTGACTTCAGAACCAAATGCAGGAGATAGAATGCGGAGCAGGTCCGTCTCCTGCTCCATCTTTAAGGACATCAACAGAACCAGGAGCTGCACCAGAGTTGCCTTGGTTTCAGTTTATCTGAACTCTGCAGACATGAGGAAGCAAAGCTAATGTGGCCTGGTTTTGACAGGATTCTGGTTCTGTTCTGAGCTTGTTTCTCAGAAGGAGTTTGTGTGAGAAAGAGGAGCTGCTGACCCAGATCTCTGCAGCTGTGGGTTCCCCCTTTGTGGGCGGAGGTTTGTTCATGTGGAAAAACTGCTGATCTGCTCAGATCCGTTCCTCTCTTCATGTAAAAAAACCCCAAAAACCTTGAAATAAGAAGCCTTTAAAGCAGGTGTAACCAATTAAAAAATCAGCGGGGTCCAAATAAAGAAAATCAACAACCAGTAAAGGTCAGGAGACATTTTTTATTATAATCTGTTTTTTTAAACAGATTGTGGTGTTTATGCATCCATGTTATGCATTGACTTTTTAAAGAGAAAATGTTTCCTTTTTAAAATCTAAAGTATTTTTTTTTTTCAGTAGGGAACAACAATCATTCAGTTTGGTAAATAGACAATTTCCCGATTCACATATTTTTATAAAACACCTGAACTGACACTTTTTTTAATTATGGCTTAATGTTCGCAGTGGGCTTTATGCTGCCCTGCAAGGCTTTAAACCTGGGTTTGAATGGAGGCAAAGCCATTCTAAAGCACATATCAAGGAGCTCATTTTGAGCCTGGATCCAGATTTATTTTTGATTCTGTTCACGGTGGAGAATCCTGCTTCACAGCAGCAGGTTGAGCCAAACATACTCTAAATGTGCAGGGTCATCTTTGAGCACCATTTCACTTTTCTGTCACCAGTTCACCACAGTTCTTCCAGTAGTCCACACTTTCTCTGCTCTCTCTTTCTCATCATCTTCTCCTTCTTTCCCATCACCCGGCTCATCACAGGTTTGCCTGCTGTGTCTAAAAGTAGCAGCAGCAGCAACCCAGACTGACAGCAGCTCATTGGCTAATTTCTATCATGGGCAGCCTGGTGCCGAAAGCTTTGGAAGGCTTTACCAGCAGCTGAAGTGAAGTTAGACACTGTTGTCGAACAACATGCAGTAATTTATAAATGTTTTAAATCGGGTTGGATTAGCCAGCAGGTGGGTCCTGATCCAGACCGCGGTCCGCTAACCTGTGACCTCTGTTTTAAAGCTCTCCTGTTCCATATCTGCTCTTTGTTCATAAAATCACAAGACTGTCTTTAAATGTAGTGAAACATTTTAAGTCCTCAATAAATGTCCTGCAGTCTCTGATGTTTTGATTCACGGTCAACATTTTAAAACCCAGAACCTAATGTGAGGATCTGTACCTCAGCTCTTGGATCTGTATTCCGGTCATGTTAAGGTTCTCCTTTCTGTCTCCTTTCTGCAGCAACAAGTCCTCTTGCAGTAAGATCGCCATGCGCCTCAAGGTGCTGCGGCGGGACGAGGTGATCCGATCCACCTACTGTGACCTTCCGGTCGCCACGGCACCGACTCAGGAGTTGATCCCAATGCAGGAAGGGAAAACGCTGGATTGTCCGGACCTGCAGGACATCGCCAAGGTGTCTGAAAGCGAGCCGACTGTCAAATGGTACTACGAGAATTCGGTGAGGCAGCAGCAGGTTTGGAACCTCTCTGACCCGGCTGGTTGTGGGTCAGCCATTAAACATGTCGCTGGTTCTGCTGGGTGAGTTGACACCTTTTCAATCTGTTCTCTAGAAGTGCTATGAGTACCCGTTTTGGGATAAGGACCGGGAACAGCAAAGAACCCGCCTGCGGTTCTACACCATGCTCACCACATATCAGGGTCTGTACTTCTGTACGGTGCAGTACCAGCGGAGAGGCAGGATGCTCAACTTCACCAGGAGCATCAACGTCTCAGCCATCTGTAAGTCTGGAGCTGCTCGGATTCAGGTGGGAGCAGGTGGACCCCTGAAGGTAACCTCTGCTGCTGTGTCCTCTTCCTGCAGATCCTTTAAGAGTGCGCAAAGAGCCCACCATCCTCCATCCGACCAAAGACAAGGTCTTCTCTGTCAGAACCAGTAAGTGGCTATCAGACCGGATCAGACCTGATTTGATGAACCATGACCCAAATATTCAGGGCTCTCATTTATAAAACATTGTGTAGGAACCATACTTGAACTATATATGTCAAAAAAATTAACCATAATTATCTTTGTGTATTTAAATTAGACAGCTGATCAATGTTATTAATTGTAACCAGTGGCAACCAGTTCAGTTTAGTTTATTTCTACAGCACCAATACACTACAGGCGTCATCTCAAAGCACTTTATAGAAGTTTTCTATCTAATAAACCAGCTGATTACATCCAGTCCTTGACTGCACGATTCCCTGCTCCTATATAAGCATGTAGGGATATTAGGTCTGCGCTTTGCAGTGTGTTGTTGCCTCTACAGCCATCCGTCACACTGAGCATGCATGCAGCAAGAGGGGAGAGGGAAAAACTCCCTATTAACAGGAGGAAACCTCCAGCAGAATATGGCTCAATGTGAGGGACGTTCTGAGGCTGACTGGGGTTCAAGGAGACAGAAGCAGTCATAGAAAAAGAACATAGAAGCCCTAATATATCAATACATTCTATGTTAGAAAAGGTAATGATAAACTAGCTTCATTGGAGGCTTTTTCTGGGAACCAAACAATGAAGCAGGTGATTTATGAAGAGTTTTTAAAATAAATGTATTGATCTCAAAATGGAAAACTTCACTTCTGCATTTAACCCATCCCCTTGAGGAGCAGTGGGATGTTACCGTGCGTGCAGCACCCGGGGAGCAGTTTGGGGTTGGGCGTCTTGCTCAGGGGCCCATTGTGCCAGTCTGTGGCAGTTGAACTCAGAACCTCTGGGACCCAAGAGCAATGATTTATCCACTAGGCCAGTGTTTCCAAACCTTTTATTGACTTGTGCTCCCCTTTGGGGCCATTTTGTCTTACCCTTAGTTCCCATAAGTATTGATGATTGTCCAATAGTGCAACGTACAATAACTGAAATTAAGACTATTTTACTTAATCTTTTAATTTGAGGATTTAACTTTAGGTTTTCCATCTAAAAGAAAAAAAAATAAATATATATAAAAAAAAAATAAAAAAAAATAAATATATATATATATATATATATATATATATATACAAACATATATATGTACATATATATATATATATATATATATATATATACAAACATATATATGTACATATATATATATATATATATATATATATATATACAAACATATATATGTACATATATATATGTATTTTTATGTATGTATGTATGTATGTATGTATGTAATTTATTAATTACAATTACAATTACAATTAATTTGTATGTATGTATGTATGTATGTATGTATGTAATTTATTAATTACAATTACAATTACAATTAATTTGTATGTATGTATGTATGTATGTAATTTATTAATTACAATTTCAATTACAATTAATTTGTATGTATGTATGTATGTATGTATGTATGTATGTATGTAATTTATTAATTACAATTACAATTACAATTAATTTGTATGTATGTATGTATGTATGTAATTTATTAATTACAATTACAATTACAATTAATTTGTATGTATGTATGTATGTATGTATGTATGTATGTATGTATGTAATTTATTAATTACAATTACAATTACAATTAATTTGTATGTATGTATGTATGTATGTATGTATGTATGTATGTATGTATGTATGTATGTATGTATGTATGTATGTATGTATGTATGTATGTATGTATGTAATTTATTAATTACAATTACAATTACAATTAATTTGTATGTATGTATGTATGTATGTATGTAATTTATTAATTACAATTACAATTACAATTAATTTGTATGTATGTATGTATGTAATTTATTAATTACAATTACAATTACAATTAATTTGTATGTATGTATGTATGTATGTATGTATGTATGTATGTATGTATGTATGTATGTATTTTATTAATTACAATTACAATTAATTTGTATGTATGTATGTATGTACATACATACATACATACATACATACATACATACATACATACATTTTTTTTACTGACCTCATTATTTTTGCACAAAGACGATTGAAAACCGCTTTCTTCTTTCGTGCCGAGTTACGATCCAGCTGAGGTTCGGCTGCTGCACTGGTAGCTCTGGTTCTGACTATTTTCTGTTTCCTGTCAGACACGGACGTGCGTCTGGCCTGCAAAGGCCTCCTTCCTCTTGTCCTGCACAACACTTCCCGGGAGATTTGGTGGACGGTTGACGGGAAGAGAGTGACTGCAGCCAATGATCGCTTCTCCCAAATAAACAGGTAGAAACAGAACAAACCTGCTTCTACTGGCAGATTTCTAGATATCTTCTCTGGAAATTCATCCAAAGTTCAGCTTTTAGACCTGGTTTTATGTTAGAAATAAAACCCGGAAATGAAACATTTACATGCCTGCGGTTAGTGCAAAAGAAAATCGAAATAAAACTGCAATATTGGTTTAAAAAATAACCGGCGCTTTGATTTTCTGTATGATCGTTCACCGCTAGTGCTAATGTGGCACATTTGAAGCGGCGTATTCAAGCAAAGACAGAGATGTCAGATAGATTCAGGAATGTTCTTTTGTGTCTGCGTGTTGCAGCCTGGAGAAAAACGATTATGGTGACCTGACAGAGGAAAGCGTTTTGGTGATTGAAGACTTTCAGCCAGAAGATCTGAAGCGGGAGTTCAACTGCTCTGTGAGAAACGCAAAGGGCTTCGAGACCCGCAGAGCTCAACTGCAGGAAGAGGGTGAGGAAGACTCTTAAGGGGAAGGAGAATCTAGCCCTCCCAATCTTGTGCGAAATTCTGTTTCCCCGTGAAAATCTGTTCCCCCTGTGTCGGGAGCGCGCATTGCAGCCAGAGAGGCGGATATGACCATTCTTAAGGCGCTCCTGATCATTTTTCGGTAAAAACAGCTCATATAATCATCTCAACTTTGTAACATCCATTTTAATCGGTTGCTCTTTTTAAAAAATTGAAAAATAAATACATTAACGAGGTCTTCTTACGCTGTTTTGTGTTGTTTTTTAAACGCCAAGAGAATCGGTATTTCTCCAACTTTTGTCCCTTCAGCCTGACAGAAATAAACGTCAGTCACCGAACACAACAACACGTAGTGTATTTTAAATTTTTCATTGCTGATATAAGAGGATGGAAACTGGCTGATAGCAGGGCACACAAATTAAGACGTCCTGCGAAGATGAGAGCAGAATTTCTGGTTAATCACCTTCTAATGTAAAATATGACAGATTACTGGATTAAGGACATTTATAGTATACCACATCACACATATCAATTTTAGAGAAATTGGAAACAGTTGCTCTTAATTTCCCAAAGATATGGGAGCAGGAGAGGAGAGAATGGATGTTTCAGCTTACTGAAATAATCTGTTCCCCCTCCATAACAGGGGAAGAAATTGATTTACCTGCAAGTCTTAAACTGTGCTTATTCCTCTTACCACCAAGAACAAATCCTGTGGATTTGGTCATATTTACTCTTTATTTGCAAAAATTAAAGGGGGGGAACAGATTATTTCAGCTGCCTGAAATAATCTGTTCCCCCCCCTTTAATCCTGATCATTTTACCGAAAAATGATCAGGAGCGCCTTGAGAATGGTCAGATCCGCCCCTCTGGCTGCAATGCGCGCTCCCAACACAGGGGGAACAGATTTTCACGGGGAAACAGAATTTCGCACAAGACCTCGGCCGGAGCAGGGTAGAGAGCGGCAGGTGTTAACCTTAGGCTGTGTTTGCTCCCAGTGTCGCTGCCCACCGTGGAGCTGGGTTGTGGTCTGGGCATCACGCTGCTCCTCATGCTGCTTCTCTTCATGATTTATCACGTCTTCTGGCTGGAGCTGCTGCTTCTGTACCGCTCCTGGTTCGGCACCGACGAGCGGCACACAGGTGAGGCGTCCATCTGGCCTTTTGTTTTTCTGTTGAATGCATTCATCTTTCACTGTTATGTCTTTCTGTGTTGGTGCTCAAAAGCTTTCAGTTTTGTTCAATTTTTTCATGTTTGATCTTTTTTTAAACTCTAGATGTTCAGGACTTCTTAAGACATCATACTTAAAGAGCAGCTGCGCTACTCTGTAAAAACAATCTAGAAATAAGTAACAATTTCTTAAATTAAGTGCATTTATCCTTAATTTGAGCAGATAAACAAGATTATTTACCAATGGAATGAGTATTTTTAAATAATAAATAATTTAAATAAGATAATTAGATAATATGCAATTGAAATAAAACAATGAAGTTGTGTTTTCTTATTAACTAATTAACTATTTACTTAAATTGTCTTGTTCGAATGACAAAAATGCCAGTTTTATGTCCTCAATGCAAGAACAAATGCAGTTATTTTAAGAAAAAAAATGACTTATCTAGTTTTTGATATTTTCCAGCATAACATGTCGCTACTTAAAGGGGAACACTGTTTTGTTGTTGTTTTTTTTACATTGGTCTCTTGTTTTTACGTTATTACATCATGTTCTACTCACACATATTATTTTTGTGTCATTTGAAGCTGTTCTGAAGATATTCGGTTAGGTTATATCCAAGTATGGGCAACGACTTGAAGGCACAAACTAAACTGTTCATAATTTTTCATTTATGGTACGCCAGCATTCATAACATGTAGGCGAATCACTGTCCCCCAGACATCCGCCGTTATATTTTTTATATCTATATTTTTTTAAAACAAAGCGGAGCGTGTAACAGATCCAACGTCATGGGTATTTTATGCAGTAAAGGTTTTGCCACATTTAATCTTGCATGAAATTTGCATGTAAGTTTATTATCTGTTACGATCAGAACAGTTTTAAAAAGAGTTTGACGCATTTAAAGAAGAAAAAAAAGATCTTCCTGTTTATAGAGACTGGAAAATTTCTGTCATGTGTCAGAAGCACAAACGCAGGCTGTGAGGTTTTTGTTTGAACCACATGTTGTTGGTGTTTCCTGTTGCCTAAAACCCCAGTTTAGAGAGAAGTTGTACTTTCTTCTTACCTTTACTTTGAGTATAGTGTAAAAGTTTTGTAAGTTTGGGTTGGAAACGATCTGACTTTGCAGCTTCAGTTCTGAGGAAATTGCATAATTGAGATTATGTCAAGTGATTCAGACCCCCCCCCCCCCCCCCCCCCCCCTCTGTAATTTGAATTTATTCATTCTTTGCAATGTTTTTGCATGTCTCTATCACTTTATTTGGATTTATGATTATACATATGCATATATATAGACTTATATGTATATATATTTTATAAGAGTTATATGTATATATATTTATATTATTTTGTGTGGTTTGTTGTGTATATATATATATATATATATATATCAAAATGTTTGTATATCTGGAGTGCGTAACAAAAGTAATTTCCCTCTGGGATTGCGTAAAGTATTTCTGATTCTGATAATCAGACCTCAGATCAGATAAAGCAAGTTTCCTTTGACTTTATATAGACAAACGGGTGAAGAAATTTTTCATACTCATGTTTAGTCACTGAAGCTGTTTCCCTCTGTGTTCAGATGATAAGGAGTTTGACGTCTACATCTCGTACGCGAGGAACAGCGAAGAGGAGCAGTTTGTTCTGTCAACGCTGCGCAATGTTCTGGAGAACGTGCTCGGATACTCGGTGTGCATCTTTGACAGAGACAGTCTCCCCGGAGGCAGTGAGTTCCTTCATCCCTTATTTATTCATCTGAACCACACTCACACTCATCCCCCATTCATCAGCACTTCATCCTTCCATCTTTCTCTGCAGCCATTACAGATGAGACACTGAGCTTCGTGGCTCGCAGCCGGCGCCTCCTGGTGGTCGTTAGCCCTGGCTACGCCTCCCGGGGCTCCCAGGCCCTGCTAGAGCTAAAGGCTGGGATCGACAGCATGGCGCTGGACGGGCACCTGAGGGTGATCCTGATCCAGTACAAGCCAGTCCAGAGACAGAGCTTGGTCAGGGAGCTCAGGAGGGCCCGGGTTGCTCTGGCGCTGGTCCGCTGGCAAGGGGATAAGTCCAAAGAACTGACATCTCGCTTTTGGAAGAGGCTGAGAGTGGAGCTTCCTGTGAGGAAAGTTAATGGGGACGGTAAAGGGAGCAGTAGAGAGGGGGCGCTGCTGAGGCTCATCAGTCAGAACAGCACAAACTCCCAAACGGGCCTCATCAGTAATGAAAAAAAACCCCAGCAGAAAGTCTTTAGCTCTGCAGCGTAGCGCAGGCGACGCTTCTGTTTTTGTTCCTTCAAAACTTAACTGTTGTACATAGAAACAATATTGAGCTGAAACCAATATAGTCCTCAGTGGTTTTGGGAAGGTACAATCTAAGTCAAGAATAAATTAAAATGTTCATATAATACAGCCGTTCCCCAAGTAGAGGAACTCATAAAAGAAAAGTTTGGGAACCACTGCTGTAGTACATTTTATCAGCCGGTCAAGTAAGAACAGAAACACTTCTGGCCTATTTAAAGCTTATCCCAAGTTAAACCAAAGTCTCTATCAGTTGGAAATGTTGGGATGTCAGAAGAGGAGATGTTTACTGCAGAGGCCATCTTAAAGTTCAGGATAGTCACTTTTACTCTGATGGTGTTTGGGAGCTTGTTCCTTCATGGCAACATCTGTAGAATACTTTGTGCTGAGGTACTGAAAGGACAAAGGTACAAGAAGATGTTCCTGAGAAGAGCACAGAGGTGGAAAAGGAGCATATGTCTCTTCTTAGCGTAAACACCTGCTGCAGACCCATAACTTTGTCTTAGGTACTGTTAGAGATTACTGTAGATTCAGCCAGCTATGGCAGCCAGAGGGGGAGTTCGGGCTGGATGGTCTACTATATAATCAAGGTTTTTAAGGAGTTTCATTGTTTTCATGACCTGCTTAGGGATAATTGTTGCTCATATCAATTGCTGGGATTGCAAATCAGGCTGGCAAAACCTGATTTCAATGATGGAAAGAGAAGAATGGAGTATTTATCGTCCCTAAGTCTCTATTCATAGCAAAAAACGGTTAATCAGAACATTTCAGGGTTTTTCTGTTCATGTGGTATTTGACAGTATTTGTCAGTAAGTATGAATGTTATTTAAATAGACTGGATATTGATTAATAGTTAGCATCATGAATAATGGGTAGAGCTGCATATCATCAGCATAAAGCAATATCTGGAGTAAAATAAGCAAATAAGACCCAAAGATCAGGAGATTATTAAGAATAAATCGGTAATACCAAGATTCTACCTCATGGTGGCGCTGAAGGAGTGTCCACCAATCTGTTTAACAAAAAATTTCTTTCTCACCCAAATATGTTTTGTTTACTCGTTAGCTTAAATGTTCTACCTTTCTACAGTTCTTTAGGTTTTTACAGTTACCTAAATGTTTTACATTTTGGCGCAGGACTTTTAGTTTGTTTGTGTTTCTAAGTTGGAAAATTAAAAATATATAAGCTTCATCTGCTTTTGTTTTAACGTAAATCAGCCCTTTGTTCAGTTTGAATATTTCACTGTTGATCCTTTTTGAATTCTCTCGGCAGCTGGATTTTGAAGCGGAGCCGGATTGAAGTTGATCCTGGTCTGTTGGCTCTGAGAACAGTCTACAGGATTTCTGGGGTTCAGATGTGTTTTCTCAACCACTGATCCAAATTGTAAATGTTAATATTTCACACAGTGAAATGCAGAGATTTTCATGATTGTAAAAAAAAAAAAAAAAAAAGCCAGAAAAACAAAACACTGTGCTGTTTCTAAACAATACAGCTTCAAATCTGAACTGACCGCTAATATCACTGCAGCAACGTTTGAACCCGTCTATAGAAATCCTGCCAGCAAGGCTAAAAATCCACCACATTACCCAAATAATATTTACTCCTCAACATGAACATGATTCCACAGGAGACACTCCTCCCTCTCCTCAGCTCAGTGCTCCTCTCATGTAGCTTCTGCAGCCTCCTTCAACTTGGCCTCATTACCCAATCAACGAATCGTCATCAATCACTTTCATCTGCTCATTATCCTCTTATGTCCAGTATGTTTTAAATGCAATATTTAGTGTATGTTATGACAAGTATGAATAGTCAATTAAAGCTAATTTAAAAGTTTACATTTAATTTCACAAAAGGAACCTTCCAGTTTGAACAGAAAGGTGATTATATGTTCTAAAAGTTGTGTTGCATAAACATGTTAATGTTGCTATATGAGAAAAGATGTATTTCTGATCTTTAGTATGAATTGGTTTTGTTTTTGTCACCACCTGTTGGCCGTTAGAGGAACTTTTTGTATATTTTAGTAATTGTTTATATATTGTGTTTCCTTTTATTGATAACATTTCATCTTACCCTATGAGAACAGAAATCAACATAAAGATAAAGGACGGTGTCATCTGTATAGAGTAGCAGTTAATGAGGAAATTAGTGAAAACCTGACTCTTAATGGGGCTTAGTCCACTGCAAACACTGCCATTACTGCAGGTTCTTAATGCCCACAGTAAATCAGTTATTCAAAATTATTTTTCAGGTTAAAAACATCCTATGCTGTTTTTCTAATTCTTAAACATGCTATGCTGTTTAAGAATTCGACAACTCTGTATTGTTTTCCAAGAAGGGATTCTCAACTTTGTAATAAGATGAATATAAAAAAATCATGTTTTTTATTGTTTTTTTCATCATGTTGTTGCAAATAATTAAATAAAATTTGCATTTATTGATGTTTTCTTCATTGATCATTCACCTTTTCTCAGTTAAAGTTTGCAGTTCAAAATTAAACTTTTTTTCTTGAGTTGAATCCATTTGATTTCCATAAGTGGATCTTTACACTCATTATACTCCACAGGGGTCATGGGAGTCCAGTTGCCTGAGAAGGCTTAACATCGTGACACCTTAAGTATTTTGAAGGTGTTGCTTTAGAAACACGGAATGCCAGAAATGTGCAAAAGGAATATACCTCTTCTTCATTTGCAAAACAAGAGCCTGCCAGGCATCTTTCCAATGAACCAGTAAAAGCTTGAGGTCATTGAGTCTACTGCTTATTTGTTTTACCTTAACATCGTGGACAGGGATTTTACGGAGTGACTCGCAGTGCTTTCTTCACTTTTGAAAGCTGATCAAAGATGTCGGCATTGCTGGGTTCACCACATTCTCACAGATAGAACCAATATGGAGAATATCACCATCTCTACCAGAGGTTTGACTGGATGACGGTCGCTTTTAGTGGTACTTCCACCTATCCACAAGCTTTGCTGAGATGGTGTTCTGACAGCGCACCTGAGTGAGGCTAGCCTCTAGAGCAGAGGTCATGGATTAGCGGACGGCGGTCCGGATCTGGAGCCACCTGCGGGCTAATCCGGACCCAACCTAATTTAAAACATTTATAGATTACTGCCTGCTGTCCGATGGCAGTGTCTAACTTCAATTGCAGCGCTTCTCCTGTTAATATGGTAAAGCCCTCCGGAGCATCCAGCACCAGGCTGCACGTGATACAAATTAGCCAATGAGCTGTGTCAGTCTGGGTTGCTGCTGCTGCTACTTTTAGACACATCAGGCAAACCTGTGGCAAGCCGGGCGATGGAAAAGAAGAAGAAGATGATGAGAAAAAGAGAGCAGAGAAAGTGTGGACTGCTGGAAGAACTGTGGTGAACTGGTGACAGAAAAGTCAAATGGTGTACTCAAAGATGACCCTGAACATTTTTAGTATGTTTGGCTCAACCTACGCCTGTGAAGCAGGATTCCCCACCATGACCTTAATCAAAATTAGATATCGATCCAGGCTTGATATGTGCTTTAGCATGGCTTTGTCTCCATTCAAACCCAGGTCTAAAGCCTTGCAGGTCAGCTTAAAGCCCACTTCTCTCATTAAACCATAAAAAAGAAGGAAAAAACAAAAACAAATGGCCAGTTAAGGTGTTTCATACATTATGCGAATCAGGAAATTGTCTGTATACAAAACTGAATGATTATGATGATAAAAAGTCGATGTATTAAAATGGATGCATAAACACCTGCATTTTATTTCAGTGTTAAATTATGTTTAAAGTAACAGATTATAATTATAGATTTCTCCGGACCTTTACTGGTTGTTGATTTTCTCTATTCGGACCCTGCTGATGTTTTATTGGTTACCCCTGCTCTAGAGACTAACTGCAGGAGATGAAAGGAGGAGAGCGGTGCATTAGGGAAGCCGTCTGGTAGACGGAGCAAAAGAGTGAGGTAGAGGGGGCAGCTGGCCTGTGTCTGCACTGGAGGTAGGACGACGAAACAGTCCCTTAAGGGCTAAATGAAAAACGCCTTACTTAAAAGCTACCCTCAAACCTTTTAACACAGTTCCTTACTTCATCCTTTGTGAATATTGATTTCTCTATCTTTCATTCTCATTTTAAAAACCCTGTCTACGCTGCCTTCTTCACTGTAGGTCACAGCAGTATTTAGTCCATGGGTGGATGTCCCAACATAATGTAGACAAAATTTAAGATTTCTTATCTCCTGTAATTTTCCCTACGCATATTTTGCAGGCGTAACAGTGATCTAATTTAGCCAAATTTGCGAAAATTGCACAATTTGTTTCTAAATTTGCTATCTTTGCCTCCCTCAGCTTCGCATCCCTTTGAATTCAGGAGCTTTCCTCTACATAATGATAAAATAGAAACCTGCTACAGCGGTACATTCGAATTACACTTTAATGGACTTCAATCATATCCAATTGTCCTACTGCAGGTGATCGATTTTTTTTTTTAAGTTAAAAGTGTTTGCTAAAGTTATTGACTGGGTCATGTTAGGGGTGACTTTAACAGAGTTCATTGGTGATGTGAAACTGTTTGTGTTTTTAGATGGCTCTCTTCTTTCTTTGATGTCTCAGATCTGTCAGAGTCCATCCTGCTGTCAATGAAGCGCAGTCGACGCCTTCTCTTTGTCCTCAGTCCAGAATTCCTGGCAGAGAAGAGCTTCAGCCTGTTGGAGTGTCGCTTGGCTCTGTACCTGCAGCATGGCCACCAGGCCTCCGTTGTCACAGTGATTCACCGCTCTGTCAGGAAAATTCCCTGCATGGAGGTTGCTCAGCTCCGTCAGGCCTCGATCTGCACCGTGACATGGCGTGGCAGTCAGTCAGAACCTCGCCGCTCCCGATTCTGGCTGCGACTGCGGCTGGCACTGCCCGTCAGGCCCCTCGCTCTGGGTAGAAGGATGATTGACAGCACATCATCTCACTCTGACCTTGCAGCTCTGGCGTTACAAAGAGCTCAGCGGATCCGAAAGCAGAGAGACAGAGCTGAACAGAGACGGACAACCAGTAGGACATCATCTACCCAAAACTACAGAGACCGAAAGACTCTTTCCAGAGGGAGGAGCTGTGTAAAGAGGGAGGAGGGACTGTTGCCCAGTAGAAGGTGCTCAGGATGCACTGGGTTTGTGGGTCAGGCGGAGGAAAAACAGGTAGAGCATGGGGTGCAAACTGAGATACAGCAGGTCATATGTGAGAGGACTGACAGAGTCACAGAAACAGACTGTAATCTCACACCTGACCCCGCCCAGAAAACAAATAATCCCTCCTTTTCACCAAATCCCACCCCCAAAAGCAATATTCTCTCCTCTTCCTCTGAGCCCATCCTCGCCAGGAGTTATCAGGAAACCAACGAGAGGAACTCTATCCATCAACACGATGTCGTTAGCTTGAAGACCTCTAATGAAATGATATCAGTGAGACAGAGAGAGGAGATTATGCCACCTTCACTTCCAACAGAAAATCCTGTCTAAGCCTTTTCAACTTGTTTTTTCTATCATATATGTCACAATTCAATCATAAACCAAAAAAACTCATTGTTGAATATATGGAGCCATTAGATCAACGTGAAAAGCATAGTTCTGAGCCATTGAAAGGATGCTTATATGAGAAAAAATATGATCTCTGTTTTAAGTTCTCTTTAGAACACATGCCTCAATGGTTCGGATTATATGAGGACTGATATTTCAGTTTCTGAATTAAAAAAATGTTGTTGAATGTATTGAAAAATGAATTGTTGTCCATAACAGCAGTGTGGGACATTTCTTCTCATTTTAACAACACAAAAGAAGTCGATGGAAAAGAAGAAAAAGGAAGAGTTCTTAAAAGCTTTTTTAATGATTTGAACACATTGTGTTCTTAACTGACACATTATTCCTGGAGGCCATCTTTAGCAGGTTTTCATCATCCAATTAGCCTCCGTATATTTTTTACAAGCAAAGTCTTAAAAGAGAGATAGGACCGAGGGGATGAATGCTTTGTTTCTGTTCACGACTGCAGCAGCTGCAGGAATCTGTTGGTCAAACTCTTTTTGTATGAACAATTTCTGCATGTCAGCTACCGTCTGTGGGTCGAGTTAATCCTGCTTTTTATTGGAGACAATTAACCTCAGAGAGCTGAAGGTGAATGTTATAGAAGCTGTGCTTCTTTGATTTTTACCCTGCATGCAATACATGTCCTATTTCAACATATCCTTTTAATGACTTCATCCTGATTATAGTCCAGAAATTAGCAGAAGCAATTATAAAACTCTTATTTGGATGATCCAAAGCTGCCCTTACTGCTGTCGGCTCCAGGGGGCGCTGCTGCATAGACAAAAATAAAAACCAGACTTTAAGCTTTCCCCTCAATCTATCATGCATGTGGATGGGGGAAAAAATTATTGTACTAAATTCTGAACTGACCAATAACACAAAACCA